ACACTACTCTGCCTACTGTGACAGTTTATCTCCTCCCTGCTGGACACTGCACTGTGTCAGAGGGGACACAGAAGCGCTGAGCAGGGAGGAGAGAAACCAGGGATGCACTGCAATTTTGGCTGAAAGATGACACTTTTGGCATTTTGCCAAAAGTGCAATTTTCGGCCAATATGTTTCCACTGCTGAAATTTCAGTGCATCCCTACTAGTAAGCGTCTGTCTCCACAAACACAGCACTGCAAGGCATTCCCCCCCTCACCCCTACTACTCTGCTCCCAACCACTCCTCTGTGTCTCGTGGTGTGAATGAGCCCTAAGATGTACAATTATGTGGTTATAATACAAACAAATGTTCTGCACTATTCAATGGCCAACACTGAACAATACTCATGATAGAAACAATATAGTATAGACCTGGATCCGCCATGTCTGCATCCAAGGCCATACACTGTATGCAACTGTCAAAATTGGGAGCTGCAGGAAGCAACGTTAGCATCCAATCCTAACCAATCCTACCCGATACAAAACAAAACCAGGATGAACTCCACAGCTTAATTTATTTTGTACATCAATACACTTTACTCATCTTACTATAGGGTCAGTTTAATAAAATATACAAGTTATTTTAACTATTGTTATTTTATCTCAGTTATTTGCCAAAATATTTGGCTTACATACATAAACACTTAGGAGCAGAATGTTTTTTTTTATTCAGTTAAATGTTATACATGTATTTCCTATGATCCTCAGCTCCATCTCATTTGCAGCCATATTGTGAGATTTCCCCCATTCTTCCTGTTTGAATAAACTCCAACGTTTTCAATCGTCGATTTTAATCGACTAAATCGATTAACTGTTGCAGCTCTAAACCTATTGAAGGACATTTGAGCAGAAGAGAAATTACACGAAGAACATTCATTTTTGTTTTGTTTTTTTAAATCCTTCAGATCCTCGTTTTCTAGTGGGTCCCTGCAGTGCTTTTCCCCCCGCATAGGTGCCTCCATCAGCCAAGCGGCTGCTGTGGAGGCACCCGCGCGTGCTTGTTTACAGCCAAGCCCGCAGTGGCTGTGTGCGTCCATAGACACACACACAGCCCTGTGGCAGGCCACCCAGCAGTTTGACTGACTGCAGAAGGAGCCTATGGATCCTCTGCCCTCAGTATCCTCCCCAAGAACCCGGAAGTTCGGGACAGAGAATCGCTGTGGGGACCAGCGGCGGTGACAAGTGCCGCTGACAGGTAAGTGTGCTGGGGACTGGGGAGTCTAAAACATACTGGACATTTACCTTAATGCAGAGAATGCATTAAGGTAAAAAAAAAAACACCCAGCCTTTAGCCTCCATTCACATATAGCATTTGAGTTTCCCCACACAGTTTTCCATACGGAAAACCGCATGGCACGAAAACGCTGTAATCTTTACAACTGCATGGATTCAGCTCATTTGCCGCTATTACTATCACATCTATCTGTGGCTATTACTGAAATAGTGTGTGGACTATTTTGCAGGATGCACGGTTTTGTATCATGCGGTCCCCGCAATAGTCTGAACAATGCACATTAAAACGCATTTTTTTATGTTTAGAATGGTTCTGTGCGTATTCGTACGGACAAATACACGCAGAAAACCTGCTCGTGTGAATGGAGCCTAATACTTTAAGGTCTCCTGTAAATGGCTATGGTTGAATAACACTGCATTTTGCATTTTAAAGCAGGGCTGCTCAAATGCATTAGGGATGTACAGATACCAAGTACCATACCTGGTACAAGTGCAATTATTTTTCAAGCTACTAGACTAGAAAAAAAAAAACTCTAAAATTAGGAGGCAGCTGTCTTTTTGGCTGGGTTCACACAGGCGACATCGTTTTTGCGCATTTTTGATGCACCTTTTAATGTACATAAATCAAACTGCATGTTTTTGTGAGCAGATTGTAGCTCATTGATGTTTCCTAATGAGTCTAAATGGCCAAATTGAGCTGTAAAAAAAACAAAAAATGTCTTTTTCCAGCGACATGCGTTTTGCTTATTGCAACAAAATGCTCAGATGTGAACAGGGCTATAGAAATTAATGAGATTTTTGGGGACATATTTTTTTTGAGCATTTTTCTAGGGCAGAAAAAGCGCTACAAAACGCTCAGTGCGAACCAGGCCTTAAGGAGCATTGGCTATGGGCTCCTGGGATTTGTGCCTCCCTGTTTTAGATGATAGGATAGATAGGATAGGATATTTTACTGATTTTACTGAAGTACTGATACTTTTCCTAACAGATACAGTTTTGTTTCTTGTCAGGTGACAGTTTTTCTAAAACAATACAGACTAATGATTTCAGGACAGTGGTGGAGCGCCAGGGCCATGTCATAACTGCAACCCTGGTAGTTCTCGTGAAAATGCCCAGTATTGGCACTGGTATCTGTGTATCCCTAAAATGCATGCAAAATTGCAAACGATGCTTTTAACCCACTTTGCGTACACTCCTGCAGTGCCAATGCATCTCAACAGGACCTACTGCATCCAGAAAACACAATGCAAAGCAGGTCAAACACAGCCGCAGAATGGTCATCTACGCTCATCCAAACTACACCATTTCATTAAATGGTAATCTGGAGTCTTGTGTTTGATATACACTTTAAATGCAGCTCCAGCCTACAAAAGTCTTTATGTGGACAGCTCCTTCACTAATGCTGCTCTAAGCTCATCTTCACTATTTTATGTTATACTATGTGAATGGGAACATATATAAAATAGGTGTTATCCCAAATTGACTGCAAAAGTGAAAATACACTTTAAGGAATAAAGTTAAAATGAAAGTTTTTTTGTGCCCGGAGTTTAACTTTAAACTATATGCAGCATGGGAAATTTAGAATGTTACAGGCCTCACATTCTCAACCTGTAGTAGGTGTGCCCGCAGGGTACAATATTAATTGTCACAGAATCATCAAATATTAATTGTCACAGAAAGAGAGACTTCTCGTTTATTAAATTCTTTAATGATTGTTTGTAAGACGTTTGTACAATTAGTGGGTACCCACAAATGTGCACATAGCAAACGTACATGCAACATGCATCAGAGAGTACTACACCTCATGATATACACTAATCAGCAATAATATGACCAGTAGCCTAACATTGAGTACGTCCCCCTTGTGCCACCAAAACAGCCCTGGTCTGTCAAGGTATGGACTCCACTAGACCTCTGAAGGTATGCTGTGCTATCTGTTAAGCCACCAGTAGCAGATCCTTAAAGTCCTGTAAGTTGCGAGGTGGAGCACCCATGAATCAGACTTGTTTTTCCAGCACATACCACAGATGCTCCATTGGACTGAGATCTGGAGAATTTGGAGGCCAAGACACCTCAAACCATTCTTGAATCATTTTTGCAGTGTGGCAGGGCACAATATTCTATTGAAAGAGGTGACTGCCATCAGGGAATACCATTTCCCTGAAGGGGGTGCACTTGGGTAGCAACAATGTTTTTGTAGGTGGTTTAGGTAGGTAGGTAGCATCCACATAAATGGCAGGACTCAAGGTCTCCCAGGTGAACATTGCCCAAAGCATCACACTGCCTCTACTGGCATGTCTTCCTCCCATAGTGCATCCTGGTGTCATCTTTTCCACAGGTGACACCATCCACATGTAAAAGAAAACATGATTAATCAGACTGGGCCACCTTCTTCCATTGCTCCATGGTTCAGTTCTGATGTTCAAATGTCCATTATAAGAACTTTTAGTGGTGGACACAGGTCAGCATGGGCACCCTGACCAGTTTGTGTCTATGCAGCCCCATACGTAAACAAACTGTGATGCTCTGTGTGTTCAGACACCTTTCTATCACAAGCACCATTAACTTTTTCAGCAATTTGAGCTACAGTAGCTCTTCTATCGCGCTGGACTACATCGGCCAGCCTTCAATCCCCACATACATCAATGAGACTTAGCTGCCCAGGACCCTGTCACCGGTTCACCTACCTTGAACCACTTTTGGTAATTCCTGACCACTGCAGACCGGGAACATCCTACAAGAGCTGCTGTTGCTCTGACCCCCATCATCTAGGCATCACAATTTGGCCCTTGTCAGTTGCTCAAATCCTTTCGCTTGCCCATTTTTTCTGCTTCCAAAAGATCAACTTCAGGAACAAAATGTTCACTTGCTGCCTTAGCCCTCGTTCACACCTGAACCTTTTGTAGTGCGTTCTCCGCTCGACGAACGCTCTACAAAACACTCAAACGGCGTATTTCAGCCCGTCCCTAACGCGCTACAAAACGGCCCACGCCTGAAAAGGTACATGTACTACTTTGGGCCGTTTTTGTTGCACGTTTCCATTGGGATACAGCCAAGTAGCCCCCGGAAACGCGTGTTTGTCGCGAACCACGGTAAAAAAAGCGCGACAGACGCGCATATGCAATACGCCTAGGTGTGAACCAGGACTAATATATGCCCCCATGTCCAGGTGCCATTGTAAGAAGATGAACAATGTAATTCTCATCACCTCTCAGTGGTCATTTTGTTGTCTGATTGGTGTATATAAAATAGAAATAAATAAGGAACACCGCTATAGGGCACTTCTGATCCCACTTCACATTGAGCAGACTTTAGGCATCTCTAGATTTATTAAACACACAGAACTTCCCTATATACAGCAATACGAATTAGATTCCTGCATTCGGTGGATTTCTCTGATCATCAGATTGGCATCAGCATATATTTATATACACACAGACACCTACAGATAACTTTACCGTGTCCAGCAGTGATCGCTCTATTCCCGTGTTCATAGGAATTGTCTGGCCATCAGACACCGGTATGACTCGCAGTATACTGTATATATAATGCTCTACACATACACACAGGCACCTAGTGATTAATCCATATGAGACTGTCACAACAGACAGTGACATGCCGCACAGTCAGGTGACAGCTTTCACTGGACCGATCTGTCCTGCTAACTCAGCTATGACCCCCCCATCACCTCCCCTCCAGTCCAATCACGCAAGTGGGTCACACTCACTTTCCTTGGAGGAGGCTGCATCCCTCCGGCTTCTCCGCTCTCTCCTGTGCTGACAGTACAAGGTGGCAGCAGCCCGGAACTCGCATCACCTCTACCAACTCTCCGCCCCATCCCTCTCAACCACGCCCACCTGGCGGTCCTCTCTCCTGAACCCCACCCCCTAAATACCTAGTGACACGCCCATACGCTAAGCTGGGCGTGTCCCGAGTGCGTCAGCCCCACTCACTTCACTAGTGTATTACTATTAGTTCCCGCCCATATGTTTGACAAAACACGCTTTTTTTATTATTAGCCCCGCCCCCACCTTCAGCCTCACGCTTCGCCCAGCCCTCCGGTGCTGCAAGTTGTGTTTACTCCCAGACCGCTCCCCCTCGTTATGTGTACCTGGCCAGTGCTGTGCTGTGTGTAGTACACTCGGCTGGTCGCTGTGCCAACACCCTATAACGGTTTTAATGGTTTTACAATAGTTTCATTTTACTAACTTGTACGCACACTCCTGTCAGGTCAGAGTGCGGGGCGAGCGGGTGGACAGGACTATTTTATGTAAAGTAAACGTTCTTTCCTTTATACTCTGGCTTCCGGTCTGTTTGCCTAGGCAGAGTTTTGGGATCCTCGGGTTTCCCAGGAGGCTGATGGAAGGCTGTGTGATGATCAAAATGGGCAAATGGCAGAGGTGTAACTAGAACCGACTCAGTATCTGCGCTTATGTACAGACGGGATTAATGAGGAAACCGACATTTCTTTACAAGGTGTTCGTTTGCAATTGTTGATTGTGACCGTTAGTAATATCCCATCCATGGCAGTAAATGATGGGGGGAATATTATTAACGGTCACAATTAACGATTTACACAAAATACTTAGTGAATAAATCCCTGTTCCCTTAATAATACTGGTCTGTGCACAAGCGCAGAAGCTGAGGTCGGCAATTTCGACTACGTTGGCGTTCTCGACAGAACACCGGTATCTGCGTTTAGTATCGGGGCATTTTCACAAGTATGAGTACTCGTGAAAATGCCTAGTATTGGGACTGGTGCATCCCTACTTAAAAATATAATGCATTGCTGGGACTTGTAGTCTTACATAGTTGGAGCTATTCTGCATTGCTGTATAATCATCATACAGCAATGCAGAATACCACCAGCTATGCGGGACTACAAGTCCCAGCAATACATTATAATAAGTCATCTATGCAGAATGCCACCAGCATCCATACACTATAATGCATAATCATCACACAGCAATGCAAAAAACCACCAGCTATGCAGGACTACAAGTCCCAGCAAAGCATTATAATAAAAGTGAGCACTATATCATTCTGCCCACTAACACAGAAGCCAGTCCAGAGTGCCGAGAGCTGGGCTGCGATATCCTGCAACAGGGTCTTGTTGTTTCCCTTTCACCCAGCTTAGCATGCAGAGCGAGGTAGAGATTGTGTCTCCAGACAGGGGAGCTGACAGGCTGCAGATCACACAGGCAGACTGCCACGTCGGGAGGGTAACAGCCAACGGACAGGACGGAGCAATAGAAAGAGCAGTAGCCAGTCGGGAAATGCTCAGCGCTTTAGGTAAAACACTGAGCATTTCAAATCTCCCGGCTTTATGGGGACGGCTGCAGCGGACCTGAGTCACGCCGAGGGAGTGGGCGGAGCCGAACGCCGCTCTAAGGACGTGGCCAGGTGAGTCTCTTACAGGCAGGGAAGGAGCGGCACTCTCTCGGGGGGCCCTCTTCTTCCTCGCTGGGCCCCCCCAAGTGGCGGAACGCCAGGGCCCGGTCGCAATTGTGACCGCTGCGACCCTGGTAGTTCCGCCAGTGGCAAATGGCCAGTAGCTGGAGTCTAAGGTCAGTAACTTAAGATGTATAGTCAAAACTTGTTTTACTTTAGTTTTGGATAGAGTAGGATTTTTTTTTTTGCTGTCCCAATGGGGAGATTTCAATGCACTTCCTGTTTTGGAGACGCAGCAGGAAGTGCTGGGAAAGCTTCACAAAATGAGGGGAACCACCTTTTTATTCACACAACTGTAAACAAAACATTATGAGGAATTTATCAAAACTGGAGCAGACAGAAACGTGCACAACGCGCAAATAACCGCATGCTGAACACGCACGTACATACACGCAAAAACTATACCACCTAGGTGTGAACCCGACCTTAATGACAGGACTGGCCTTCTTGTTGTTTATAACCTGTGCATGCACGGGGAGAGAATGCACCCTGCACATGGGAAGTGTTTGAATGACCCAGAGTGCTCATTTGTGCGCTGATGTGGCCGTGCACGTATAAAACCTTTTTTTTTTTAATACTACTCACCTGATTCCTGCATCAGGGCTAGAAATATCAAATGAAAAATAGATATGTATATGAACGTAGTTCAAATTACAGTCACAATCTAAATTCAAATCTAGATAGAAAGCATATTGGATCAATATTCAAAAAACACAGAGCTCACCAATAGTGAAAATACAGGTTTATGTGAACACAGGTTTATGCATGTCTATATAAACACAGGTCTATATACACATTCTTATAATAAAAAAAAATTCTTATTAAAAAAACGCTTTAACAGCGGTTTAAACTTACCTTATTTTTGCTCCGTGCTCCCGCCCGAGAAAACGACACTGTTCTTATGGCCGCAAAGCATCTTGGGGCGGGCGCATGCGCAGTTCGGATTCTCGGCCGGGAGACAAGCAGAGACGCAAGGTAAGTCTATGGACGCGTGCACCCGCATGCAGACACCGTGGGATCAGAAGTGCCAGCAAGCTCAGAGGAGTCAGCGCTGGATCGGAGAGCCGCCGCGCTGCTGGAGGGACAGATGAAAACATCAGGAAAGAAGAAGATCGGATTAAGAGACATCATTTAAGGTTAGTGCTGACATTAACATTGGGGGGAGGGGAAAAAATGTATCCTTCAATGTCACTTTAAGTTTCACCTTACTGATACGTAAGATGGCTTATATGCCTCTTCCCTTCTTAGTCCTCAGCTTTGCAAAACTCTGCTTTTGTCAAGTTTGTACCACAGATCTTCTAGTTTTAGAAGCAAGCTTGCAGCATAATCATATTCAACCCAATTGCAACTACGAACCAGTCTATTACAGTGCAGTAGATCTACATTTGATTGTCATATGATACAGTTGACTCCTATGGGGATCTCCTATGGGGATCTGGATTTATGAGTCTGGAGTGTGGCATTTCCTAAGAAGATGAGAGTGTAAGTACATTTAATGACATCACTGTACTCGATACCCTTACACATTCCTCTTCTTAGAAAATGTCACAAAGCATGGAAAGTGCTTTCACTTCCCCAATTCATCTGATTTGGCCATATAAGCAATCAGCAGATCTACCCAGTGCCGGATTTACTCTCGCTGCTGCCCCAAGGCTGGGTTCCTCAATGCGCCCCCTTCCTGCCAACCCCCCCTTTTTCCAATGGAGAATGGCAACCAGATGTTGGGGATGGTAGGGTTTTAATTTTTTTTATATATTTTTTTTCTTTATTATTGTTTTCATTTTTTTTTAATTTTACTTTTTTATCTTATTATCTTTTTTTATATTGCTATGACACAGGAGCTAACAAGCCCCTGTGTGATAGCATTTGGAGGTGGCAGGTTCTCTTTATGTAACCTGTTACCTCCAATACAGGAGTTCTAGCACAACACTGAGTGGGAAAGGCTGCAAGTGCAGCTCTCCCGACTCAGTGTTCACATTCTGCTCCCGGCTCTCCATCCTGAAGTGATTGCCGTGGTCCTGTATATATATATATATATACATACATGTATATATATGTATATATTATACAGCATATGTATGTTATATACAGTATATGTATATATAATTTTATTTTCATGCCCACATTCCTACTACTAGTCCTTCCAATTGTTTCTTGTTTAATAACAATACAATTGTGATGGTAAATTGCTCAATTGCCTGTATAGTTCTGTACTTTATAATGCTTCAGTCTCAGTATGTTATCTGAACTGTAGATAGCTCATATCACACTGAGGCCACATTTTCCTGTATAATGTTATTTATGGACATGCATTTTAAACTGTCATGTTCAACTTTTAACGTTTAGCAGTTGTGTTTTCTGTCTTTTGTAAAGCTGCAGTCAAGGAATTCTGGCTCGTTGACATTTATGCATGTTTTCTTATAACAGTTCAACTAGATTAACCACACATATGTACTTTAAGTAATATGTATATTTAGCTGTTTGTCTGGAGTTTAAAAGCACACATGTAGTGTTTATAAGGTATTAAAGCTGAAGTTTAGTCTGCGTATATGTTGCTTTTCCTGGTTCGCCCCCCTCATCGGAATGTTTAAACAAAACCTTTCTGTTTTCATGATATACCTTATTTTAGACCTAGTGAAGGGCCTCTGTGCTTTTCTAGACAATGCAGTCAGATCATGGTAGGTGTGGAGGGCCAGCAGGGTGCTGTACATAGATTCCTAAAAAAAGAGCCCTCAGACCTGATGCAAGCAGTGGGCTGGCTCTTTGGGGGATGCTAATATAAAAAAAGTGCCTTGATGAGTATATGTCAGTCTGGAGGCATAGGCATTCCTAAGCAGGCTGTATTTGTATGCATACCACCCTAGATAACACCCACACTTGATGAGGAGCCTCCGTGAATGAAAGATCTGAAATCCAATGAATGAACATGGCAGACCAAGGGCCCTAAAGCTGGGGAGAAAAAAAGATAGATGATGCTGGAAGTCCTTTAGGAAATGGGATAGGCTCACCGTCTGCAGTTATATCAGAGTAAGCAATTTCAGTACAGGAGAGAAGAGGAACCGGTACCACTGTGCAAGACCAAAGGTAAGGCTGGAGTTCAGCTTTAATGAACCTCTGTCATCAACTTTGTTTTTTCTTTCCCTATATCGTTTCTCACTTGCAATGGGAACCTGCTTGAAAAATTCACTATCAAACACCAAATGGTTTCCACTAATCGACGTCATTGAAGAGTCCAGATGGAACACATGTTAGTTTAACCCCTTGCCGTCCGCCCGTTGTAAGATTACGGGTGGACGGCGGGTGGATGTACATTTACGTGATTTAATTCCTGGCTGCGTGTGTCCCCTAGCGGATGCGCGCCAACGGGATCACACC